CTTTCTTCTGATTGGATGCCACTTACAAAGGGTAAGTGTGAACAGCTGGTGGGTGGGGCTTCTGTAGGGGGGAAAACGGTCTGAAACCGAGACTCTAAACTTTTGTTGCTCCTTTATGGCAGAAATCATAATAGGTTATTTCAATCAGTACTGAGATTACAGTTATTTATCTTACACATGAAAAATTGTTCTTTTAATTAAGAGGATTTCCATTAATTCAAATTCTGCTGGGTTGAGATTTTTATGGAGGGACTTAAGAGCAGGAAGAGGATGTGATGAAATGAGAGCATTACTATAATACCAAATGCAGCACGATAATTATTTATCTTTATTATCCTGTTAATATAAATATTCAATGAAAGCCAAGGTTGTAAATCAAATTCATATTTAATTGCACAGCTGTACTGGTGTGAACTCTGCACTTCAGTGTGAATGTCTGCCACCGTAACAGGATATAAACGTACATCACCTCTGCTTTATATCATCACACCTTACATTTTAATGTCCTTAGAAACAGCGTGCTGTCTCTTTAACACATTTACATTCATAAAATCTGAATAAACTTGAAGTCACGTAGGAAAACCACCTCAAAACAGGAACTTTACATATAACTACATTCATTTTGAGGAACAATAACAGACCCCCAGAAACAAAAGCAGTATTGAAACATTTTTTACTTTCATCTTCAAGTCAAATAACTGCAAATCAACTGTTCATGCAAATCAGTAGAGACGCCATCTTATTGGTGATCAATCTGTTATTGGTGCCACTAATTTGCCACGACTTATTAAAAATGGCTGTAAATACGAGACACAGAAAATCATAGCGGCCCCCTCCTCCCATCAGGCAGTGAGTCATTTCTCAGTAACGCTGCTGAAGAAGGTCACAGTGGTTTCTACCAAACAGACGCTCGCTCAGATCCTCTCAGGGTCTGCGTGCTTCTCTTCAGAAATGTTTACTGGCTGCTCTTTTTTACTCTGTCGTACATTTGATGTTTATTCTTACTTTCTCTCAACCTTCAGATGTCTTACGAGCCGTTTTCTGTAGAAGCGCTTCTGAAATTTAAAAGCTCTGCAGATAAAACCCAAGTAATAAAGGTTCATTTCAGCTGCATTTAAAAAGCAATAAATACGTTCATGTTAGAGGATCTAAACATGTAAAGTTATTATTTACATGATGTAAGTTCAGTATTTTTATATTTCTGAAACTTTATTCTTTTTGTGTTACTGGTTGTTTTACTGTTTTGTTTTGTTTTTGTCATGTGTCATGTGAACGTGGCTTAACTGTAATTTTGTCCACATGAATATAAAGGTCTTCAGTTTAAATCTTGAAATATTTAAAGTGTTTTGAGTTTTATCAAAGTCATTTTACATCCATAAGTGTGTCACGTTTAGTTTGTAGTTAGTTAATGTTGGCAGGAGGACTCTGTGTGCCGATGACGGGAGGAAACGGGGACGTTTAACAAAAGCTCCTGAGACTCGGGAATGAACTCCAGTGAAATAATAGTTCATTTGAAAACAAACAAAAACGAGGGAGAGTGAGATAAAACGCCGGCCCTGACAGAGGCGCTAAGGCACAACAGAGTTTAGACTACATTTAGAGAAAAAAAATTAGATTGCTTTTTTAGAATAAATTCAAAAAACCGTTGAGAATGTATTCTGAGGAGAAAAAATCCAAATGTGAAGATTTATTTATTTTATTTATTTATTTATTTATTTCACACTTGGTACAAAAAAAAATTCAAACAAACCAACCACACTTTCTATCAAAAACACTACAACCATGTGTGAAAAGGAGCAGGAAGAAGAAAATATTCTTATTAAACTCTGCCCCCTATCTACAATCCAATTTATATTACAAGTGGGCACCAAAAATCAGGGAACAAACCAACATTAACATTTATCTCCGGTCCTAACCCAAACCAAACAACACATTTACAATCAGAACCACTCCACATAGTAACAAGGAGAAAAATTAAAATTAAAATAAATAAAACAAAAATTATAATGGATCCTTTTTCAATGAACTCCAATTTCATTCACATTCTTCATATTGAGTTATCGGTTTAAGCATGTAACACTTTTTAAAACAATGTAAATTTATACAATTCTTTAAATTATAATGAAGTGAGTTCCACAGTCGTATACCCCTAACCGTTGGACTCATTAATCTTTGTGTAGTCCTAGCAAACTGATGCTTAAAATAAAATTTCCTTCTATCTTCTCCCCCTGAACACAATAAAAATACTCTTTGTAACTTAAAGGGCAAAATATTATTTTTAGCCTTAAACATAATTAATAGTGTCCGTAATTTCACTAAATCTCCTAATTTTAATAATTTCGATTTTATAAATAATTTATTTGTATGTTCTCTATATTTAACATTATGAATCATTCGTATCACTTTCTTCTGTAATAAGTTTAGAGGTTTTATAGTATTCTCATATGTATTCCCCCAGACTTCAGTACAGTAACTAAAATATGAGAAAAACATTTCCGTTTTTTTTCTCTCAAAGTAGAATTACGACTTTAATCCTGAAAGTTTGACTTTAGTGTCAGAATGGTCAATAATATATTTTTTCTTAATCTGGCCCTAATACTCCATCGAGTGGGGAAAAGCACAAAGGAGGAGCCAAGTTTCAAATAAAACAGGAAGTAAACTAAAAGGGAGGCCGTGTACTTGTTCAGTGTTTTCTGCATCATTCGGGAAAGCCGTTCTGTGGCTGTGTTTGTTGAACCAGACCACCAAGCAGGAATCTAATTTGTTGGGGAAAACACACGCGCTCATTGTTCTGCTCTGTTCAGCATCATCTCCGTGTTTATTGGCCTTATTTGACAGTGATATCATTACAAACGGGCCTGATGATTCCAGTGAAGAGTCTGCATGGGAGCTCAGTCTGAGCAGAGGTAGATTCATGTCAGTCCAGTAATTTTCATGCATAGACATACGCATGTCAGTTTTCATAACTGTGGCATTGTTTTGAAGGCTGATTGTCCTGCCTGTACGTGTTGTTAAGCTTCTGTTTCTTTTTCTGAGTCTTTTAATGCGACTCACTTCTAATGACTTTATTTGTTGTTTTCAGTTTTATTGATTTTCTTATTGTATTCTTTTAGCTGTACAGCACAGTTGTTTCTGAGTGTCCTTATAAATAAGGTGACTGTCACAGTTTGATGCTTATCCCATGCCACGGGTCGATGAGCTCCTGGGTTTCGGCACCACTGTGACACAAAAAGGACCCGAAGCACACAGCTGTGACCCTATGGAAATGGGGAAGGCATGACCAGGTGTTGAAGAGCACCTGTTTTGATCAGCCTGTCCTGACACCACACCCTGAACCCACTGATCCACCCCTCCCCTGCAACTGAGCCACAAACCACGCCCTGCCACAGTGACTTATTTTACCCGGTAGTCACTTTTTAAAAACAAAAAAAATCTGCCTTTAATGTATCCTGAATATCTGAACATCACATGATAGATTTTTATCGCAGATAGTGAAAGCCCTTGGTCCTCTCTCACTCTATGTTAAATCCTCTATCAGGAATTTAGGTGTCACCTTTGACTCGAGTCTCACATTGGATGGGCATGTGAAATCGCTGGTTCAGTCTTGTTTTTATCATTTAAGAAATGTGGCTAGG